TTCGAGAAGAGTGAGTATATCAATCGACCCTTTTCTCCGGATTGGGATGATTACGACTCCTTGTTTTACAATGATTGGTTAGGAGTTGTGTTTAAGCCTACTAGGGTAGCGGATTTAGGTTGGTTGAGAAGAATGGGAATTGAGGATACGGTTTTGGGAATGTTAGGAGCTATCGGTTTAGGGATGATATGCACTAAGCAGTATGATATGTTTCCGGAGTTGGTTAGGCAGTTCCTAGCAACTGTTAGGGTTGGTTATGACAATGAGAGAGTAAAGAATGCTCGAGAGGGTTTTCTTAGCTTCTTTATCCGAGGAGTACGTTACAGTTTGCTGTTGCGTGAGCTGTGTGAGATTTATGGGTTTGATGGTGATGCACCACACGTGGCACTTCCCGAGCTCTTTGATGGTATTCAAGATTTCTGGTCCTATTTTGGGAATGGAGTTTATGACTCCAAGCGCTCGGTACAGACTGATATCAGACACCCGTCTTTGAGATATTTTTTTAGGCTTCTTTGCAACACTCTGTTATGCAAGATGGAACCTGGTAAGATGAGACATTCTGAGGTGATGCTCCTCAATTAGGCTGTTGGTGATTCTTGTGTTGCAGGTTCAGAGGCAGATGAGTGTGACCGGAATGTGAATTTCGGAGCTATTTTCGTACATCAGTTGGTCAAGATTAAGTATCGACCTTTCATTGGTACTGGAAATAAGACCGAGAGTGTTGGTAGTCTTCTCACCCCTATCTTCCAGCACCTGGGGATTAGCACTGACGGAGTAGAGATTTCGACATTGAGGTCTACGATGGATGAGGCTTATTTGAAGCATGCACAGTAGCTCAAGGGTAACCTGCTTTGGAGTTTCTCTAATGATAGGGGGAGTCACTTGATTCAGCTTCCTCAGCCCGAGCTGACTGTTATCACAGGAGAATTTGCTTCTGAGGAGTGCCAATCGACACCCAAGTGATCCTGCAAATCAGTGTCGAGCCAGGTCGATTTTGCTTTGTCACAACTTGATTTCACGGATATCTGCATTGGTGTCGGTCGACACTGCCTCTACAACCACAAAATTAGCATCACTCTTCTCAACTTCAACGAATTCATCTTCACTTTCCATCAAAACGGCATGGTAAATAGTCTTGATGGTGCTCTCAATCCTTCCAAGAGGGGATATCTCTAAGATCCTCTTCTGATTTTCTTGAATCTGTTCCGGCATGGATGCCATCTTACTCGCAGAAGTGGGTGGAGGGTGGGCTTGGTAAGAATAGGAACAATAATTCCTGGTGAAATTGCTCAGAAAAGCCATCTTTGTCTGCTGTCAAGTTGTCAAAGATCTTGGAATCAACTCCTTAAGCCAAGTAGCTGCTTCCACAGCAAGAGAGTATGGGAAGAGCTTGCGAAGTAGATAGTCTTCTGATACAACCGTGCTTTGATGATTGAAACCAAATCTTCAAACCTCTCGATGTGATCCATTAGTTGTTCAAGTGGAAGACCGTGAAACGGATGCTGACTCATAAGAGTATAGAATGCAGGTTGGAGACCTAAATCGCTTCTTTCAAACGTAGGAGTTCTAATTACACGCTGATTCTCATAGAACAGGTCAGGCCTGTTGTAGTCACCAAGAGTCATCTGACGACCATCTGTTCTATTTTTCCAATGGTGTCGATTGACACTCTCGTCGAAATCATACATCTGGTTGTTGTGATTGAATTCCTTAAGTCCCTGAAACACAAGAAACAAAAGAAATAAAAACACGTGAGCAACAAAAGAAAAGAAAAGAAAAGTTTAGACTAAATTCTACACCTAGTCTAATAGTGAAGCGAAGAGAACCCCGGCAACGGCGCCAAATTTGATGTGAGTCTAATTAGACCTAAGACTACTCTCTCAAATAAGAGATCAATTGCAGTACTTTAGGGTCGAAATTCACAAAGCTCTCGTGTTCACACAATAGACTAACAAGTTTTGAATTAAGCTAAACAGAAAAGATTATAAAAATAAAGCAAGACAAGTAATTAAAATTGAAGCAAATTCAGATGAGGGAAAACGTCAGGCCTAGGGAATTTCTCAGGAGATAAATAAATAGCAGATCTAGCAAATTAATTAGGATTATTTAACGAACCGTTCTGGAACTCAAACCACTAATGTATAGCCAATCACCTCTCGAATGTATTGACTAACTAAACCTAATATCAGGAAGTTCCACCTCTCGAATGTAAACTCCTAGATCTAGACTAGCATTAAAAGCAGGTTTGATATGTTCACAAATATTTCTAGACCACCTCTCGAATGTATCTAGTAATTTCTGCACTTATAATGCTTCTCAGGGATATAGACCCAAAGGGGGGATTGTGCAATTGTAAGGCTTCAAGTGATACTATTAGCTGACCACATGATCAAGGCCGAGATTATAACTAGTGAATTTGTAGGCAAGATGGTCTTGATACTAAGGATATTTGTTTCTCCGCATGAGAGGAAATTTCTGTTTAGGATGAGACGTAGACAGTTTCCAGTAGTTCTAGCTTTTGCAATGACTATAAATAAGATTCAAGGTCAAACATTGGCTAATGTTGGACTATTTCTTCCACGGCCAGTTTTTGCTCATGGACAACTACATGTTGCCATGTCGAGGGTAAAGTCATGAGACAGTTTGAAGATTTTAGTAGCCGATAAAGATGGGAAGCATAAGAAAACAACATGTAACATGGCACGTCGTTTTGTCGCTATAGTAAACGATATCGTTTGACATAACAAAGAAGGCAAACGGAAGTTAAACACCGTAATCGGGTTCTGTTAGCCTACTTAACGCTATGACTAAAATAGTTAGTCAACCAAACTTTGTTAATTAATTTTAAAGTCAACAAAAACTTTACGATTTATATGTCTTCTTCGTAGTTCATGATTAAATCGTCTCAAATTTGAAAGTTCATGATTTTTTTGACATTTTTCCCGTTCGTTTTTTGTTATCTTCGGTTATTTTTTCGTTAGAATCATATTAAGTTAGTCATTTTTGACATCAATGTCTTTGAAAAGATGGAAGGAGTTTCTAAATTAGTGTAATCTTTAAACATCAATTTTTGTAACCTTGTAAGGATTGGTTAACATTAAAATTTTAATCTACTGACAGTAAGATCGCTTCATACCTGGCTTCTTAGGATATCCAGAAATAAAACATTATCTGAAAACCAAGAATAGGTTTGTTCATTCCTTTTAATACAAACAGATCTAAAATCAAATGATATAACATAAGAATTGAGAGGAAAATACGGAGATTACCATTAATCCATCATTAAAATAAATCTATAGCATTAATGTTAATAAAAGACAAAGTTTAGTAAATTTACTTAAAAATCATACTAATGGTATATTGTTTATTTATATATCAGTAAAGTTTATTTTTATATATAGCTTCAACCTATACATAGTTTCAGCTTTCCTCATCTAGGTATATTTACAACTTACAAGAATGTCGACAATTGTCTTTGACGCTAAAAATAAATAAGAAGAAAGGAGATATATTTGTTGACGTTTCGGAATTGAACCTTTTTATCGTTGTAAGGCGCATTAAGGTGAATATACTTAGGATATCAGAGGCTTATACTTCCTTGACGAACTAACGGAGCATCTCTTATACAAAAATGACTTTAAAACGTCTTTGCTTTAGCGTACCCAACCGTTAGTAAGTTTATTTTTTTTCTCTATATTATTATTTGATTTTTTTTGTCATAACAGAAATTTATATATATATATATATATATATATATAGTGAAATAAAATTTACTTCCTTCGTTCAAGGTGATATGAATTGAACGATTATAGTACAAGTGTATTGCTAGATGCAGCTTTTGCTTTATTGGTAGATTTGAGAGTGTTGAGAATCATCTTTGTCGATTTGGTATGAGGAATCCTAAAAATCTGTGATAACAAATGCAAGTTAAATTTGAGTACCAAGAAAAAAAAACAAAAACAAAAAAAAGTTTTTGAGCAAAAAAACCATCAAAGTCGCTATTTTTTGCAATTTTACCCCTCATCTCCAAAAATATGTAGATTAATTCTATGAAGTAAAAAATAATACGCAATATAACCATTTTTCGCAACTGTCAAGTTTGTAAAATATTGATAAAAATATGTCAAATTGAAGCCCTCACGACAAGGAGTTCAACTCTACCTTTACAATTTTAAAAATTAAATATATGTAACCGTGAAAACGTTTATAATATATGTATAAAGATTGTATTGTGTATTATTTTAGACTTCATAAGATTAATCTGCTTTTTTGGAGGTGGAAGGTAAATTTGAAAAAACTGACAATTTGATTGGCTTTTATTACACAAAACTCTATAAAATCATGGAATCTTGCGCTTCCCTAGTTTACTAAATTTGTGTATTTATAGAGGGTAAAAAATTCTGTTATCCTTGTAATTCCAGAAATTGTGTTAACTTTCAACCAGAAATAGAGGGTAAAAAATTCTGTTATCACATTAATACCCTCTATTGACTCTTCTACTAGACAATTTATTGGATCTATTCGTTAATCCATCCACTCTTGAAAGCGAAAATAGTAAGACATTTAAAGATAACTAATTATAAGAAAACAAATATTAAACTCTAAAGTTTTTTTTTTTACTTTTCTTCTTTGATTTGAGGATCGCTTGAGAAACATTTTGGCTTTCTAGAAAACTATAGAACCATATTGGCCACTGCTTAATTCATGGCCGTTTCAGTAGCTATATATAGCCATTGGAAAATGCTACTTGTGTTTCGGAATACTAATTGCAATGCTACAAAACTACGATGCCATATGGACTCAATACTGCAAAACAAACTAGCTATAAAAATTAAATTATGTCTATATGTCAAACCCACAATACACTAACACCTAACGACAAATTTAAGTATATTTTGTTGCAAAAACTAAACAAAAACTACGAAACATTAATACATACAAAATTTCTAAAATAAATTAAGAAACAATTTACCTGCTGTCTACAGCGGGATAGCATCTAGTTAATTTTTTCATATATAATAACACACACTTCTCACTAACCATCTAATTTCAAAGTTTCACATGGTTTGTACATTGTAAAACATCATTTTCTTAAATTCAAACTAATGGTGTCTCAAAAAATAAAATTCACTTTTATAAGAGGTTGTGAAGAAGAGGTTACATACAACCGAGAAACAATACTCAATGTCAATCTTTAGAGCTTCTTTAGTAGAGTTCAATAAAATCATTCGGCTTGAGCTTCTCGTGCTCTTTGTACTTTCAAGTCATCAAGATAGTTCTGATAGATATAAAACGCGAATCCTGTGAAGGCAATGAGCATCGCGACAATCTTAACCTCAGTCAGCCTGTCGTGGAACACGGCAATGGCTGCAAGAGGCGTAACAATGAGTGAGAGTGTACCAATAAAGTTCGAAAACAGCGAAGAGACCAGAAATATAAGCGCCACGGATCCTACAGAACCCAATTGACACGACACCGCTGTCCCAACCAAAGTCAAAACATAAATGACTTGACCCTCCTGAAACTCTTCCATCTCCTCACTCAACAACAGCCATTCCCCGCTTGCAAACAACCCGATAACCGCAACACAAGAAGCCACAAGCGACGTATAGATCTGCATCACGAGAACTATAGCGAAAATCTCACTCTTGAGAATCTTCTCGAATGAAAACTGCACAAGAGAGATCTGAAGAGAATAGATAAGAGAAGCAAGAACTGTAGAGAAACACCCAATCAAGTAACTCCACTTAGAATCCCCTAATGGGCTATTCGAATCATCGTCAAGAGAAACCAACATAGCAGAGATAGAGAGAAACAACACTGAGAACAGAATCAAACATGTGATTTTTTGAGAATTGATGTAATAAGAGAAGACACCATTGAAAGCTAACTGCGAAGCACATAGAATCGAATAAGTCGAAGCAGAGAGATACAAAAGCCCAATAGAGTATAAAAGATTGTCTAAACCAATAGCAAAACCAAGCGAAAGATAAATCCAAACCAGAGTCTTGAAAGAAGAAGAAGAAGAAGAAGAAAATGAAGAAGAAGATTTTGAAGAAGGAAGGAGACAAAGAGGGAGATAAAGAATCGGAAAGCCACAGGTTTGGACAAGAGTGGAGATCCATTTACTGTTTCCACCTTCGTTGTAATAAAACCGACCAAGCAGAACACCAATGGCTTGAGCAGAGATGAGGAAGAAGATACTTATGAAGACAAGAATCCACCATTGGGTTCGTTTTAGTTTCATGAGTTGTGTAGGAACACTAGTTCTTCCTCTTCCCTCATCTTCTTCCTTTAGCAGCAACATTGCTTCTTCATCATCTGTTACCAACATTAAAATGGAACTTCAAGAAGAATCTAGGAATTGGGTTTTGATCATTACTCAGTTTATTTCATTTCTAATATCGAAATTGAAATTAAAATGAGGAAAATTAGAGAGATATACCCATTGTGAAGGGAGAGTTGACTAATAGATGAATCGATTCTGTTTCGGGATTGAGAGAGATGAGTCTCATTTTATTTTCTCCTGCGTAAAGAGTTGACTTTTTTTTTTTTTTTGGGGTTCTTAAAGAGAAATCAAAACGTACAAACAGTAAAGAGATTACAAAGCCAATGAAGCCCAAAATCCATACGACTGCATGAGCCGAGTTTGATTTCAATAAATCATGGGTCGATATAAGAAGAAAAAAAGTATTTAGGAAACCAATCAAAAAGTATGTGTGAATGAATGGGAAAACGGCCAAAATCAATCCCAATTATTTTCATGCGGCCTTTTTTAACCCAAACTCTCATCCCTTACATTTATCAATCCGAACCCACATAGATTTCAAATAACAAACCTGAACTATGTAATCGTTAATTAATTTCAACATATACATGCTATTATATAATGTAACAAACATAAAATATGTAACCTTTAACCCATTGAATAAAAGGAATGATTCAGAAACAAATAAATAAATAATTACAACTTAACAATTCTAATCGACATTAACAAATACAAAAAAAAAATTATGTTGAAATTGGCTAACGGTTACATAGTTAAGGTTTGTTATTTGAAATTTATGTGAGTTCGGGTTGATAAGTGCAAGGGTCAGAGTTTGGGTTGAAAAATGCCGCATGAAATTAATTAGGGTTGATTTTGGCCGTTTTCTCGTGAATGAATATGTCAATATTTAACGCACTTAATATTATATCAAAGTTTAAGATAATAAATTACATACATATATAATAATAATGTATATTTATATAAAGTATGCTAAAAATATACATTTTTATATGTTAGAAATCTACATAGATAAATAACATGTTTGAAGGAAAAACTACGCGTCTTTCGATATTTTAAACACATAAGAAATTTGTATAAAACCATCTAAATTAGCTAAAATATTTTCTATATGACTTATAAACTCTTGCTATTTAATAAAATATCATGTCTTCATTTGCTATGCAATGCACATATTATTATGTAATGTTCAAAAAATAATTAGGCGGTAACTAGACGCTGGTAAAATCACAAAAAAAGAACCCCATGAGTGGGTTTAGGTACCTCTTTCTGTATTAGAGGGTTTCAACTCTAATAAGAAAGCGCTGTAAAACCGGGAAATATCCTTTTTCGCCGGATTTGAGCAAGATTTTCCTGTTTTTGAACAAGATATTACCAAATTCTTTGAAGATTATTGCAAAGTTTTAACCTAGTTCTTGCTTCTCTTGAGCGCAGTCAAAGTCTGGTTTTTCAGATTGCAAAGGAAAACGCAGAGAATGGAGTACGCACTCGACAAAGCCCTTCAAGAGATGTCCTTAGAAGAGGACAAGCCGATTGTCTTGCAAAGCCATCCAAAATTCAGCTCGTGTGAAAGGAATGGTTGCAACATCATAGGAAGATTACTTCGTCTGGAGAACCAAAAGATGTCTAGTATGATCCATGAGATGCCAAGGTCATGGAGAGTGTTTAGCAGAGCAAGAGGGATTGCTCTCCCGAATGATAAGTTTCAGTTCATCTTTGATTCTGAAACAGATCTATTGAGGGTTTTGGAGACCGGTGCTTGGACGTTTAATGATTGGAGTCTCACACTTGAAAGGTGGGTTGAGAATCCGCCTGCAAATTATTTAAAAGTGCTGCCAATATGGATCCGTCTACGTAACGTCCCTGTGAATCATAATACTGCAGAAACAATCTGGGAGATCGCAGAACATATTGGGCGTATCACTCATGTAGCTTTTGATCCGTTGAAGCCGTAGAGCAAGGGGTATGCTCGGGTTAGAATATTATTTGATATCAACAAACCGTTGAAGAATAGCAGAGCACTTCAACTTCACACGGGGGAGATAGTTGACATTGGGATTGAGTACGAGAGGATCCGGAAAAGATGCTACCAATGCTTAAGGTTAACACATGAAAAAGAAAGGTGTCCTTTCAATAACACATGAAAAAGAAAGGTGTCCTTTCAACCCTTCAAACCGGCAACCTGTTGCTACGAGAGGGGGAAGAATTGCACCTACTGTTCCATCTCGCTTAATCCCTAAAATAAGCAAAGATGATCCTTTGTTTGGTGTATTAACAGATGAGGATGTCGACCTTGACACTACTGGTAGAACAAAAATCACAAAACCAGTACTAGATGAGATGAGACAGTATCTCTCTGTGATTGATCCTCAGGAAAAGAAAGCTCGTATTGAGAGAGTTCGCAGATCAGTGTGGGATTTGGATGGCGATTCGCAGGGCAGAAAAACTCTACTTCAGCTGGAAGCTCTGGTTAAATTCACAACTGATGTGAATAGAGGAAAAGGTGTAGTGATGGATTTTCAGGCATCTAGTTCTGATTCGCAGCAAGGAGAAAAACAAGTTACATCAGCTATCAGAGCGGGTACAGCCATGACAAGACTTTCTCAACCAAGGAAATCTTCCTCTGCTACCTACGCTACGGCTTCTCAGACTGATTTGGATTCTACGAAACTGCAAGAAAGCTTTTCAGCTGGACTGACCGGGAACAAATCCAAGTCACTGAAAAAACGCCGGCGTCCTAATCAATGGAGGAGGAAAGCACAAGCTCACAGAAAAAACAAGAAGAAATAGCTACAAGTCAGCCAATCGCAACCAAGTCAAGTGAGGATGGTGTAGCTACACTACAAGAAATTCGGTCATTGGTAGCATATCATTGTAGCACTAATTCACTAACTGCTACTAAAAGTTACAAAATCGGATGGCAACTATATTGTAGCATTAATTTAGTGCTGGAATAGAATTTCACTAAGCGGGAACCCAAAAATCACTACTGTAGCAAAGAAAATCATTTTGGAGGCAAAACACTTAGCCAAAACTTTATTTTTTCCGCGACTTTACACTTAGCCAAAGACTCTCACACACTTAGCCAAACACTCTCACACACTTAGGTCATTTTCTCTAAAAATCGAAACCGACGAAATTCTTTCCGCCACCTCTGTCATTCCGCCACCTCTGTCTTTTCGATTCCCTCGATTTTCCGGCGACCAGGAAACCCAATTCTGGTCATTCCGCCACCTCTGTCTTCTTGATTCCCTCGATCTCCAGTCGTTTTCCTCGATTTCTCTCTGGTTTCGAAAAGGAAAATCAACCCTTTAGCTGGTGCATGTCTTCTCCGTCACTGAGTTGCTGTCATCTCCGTCGCTGTGTTGGTGTCGTCTCCGGAGATCTGCAAAATCGAAGAAGAAACCCACGACAGGTAGGCAACTCAGATCTGTAGTAATGACTGTAGATATAATCTTCGATTTCTCAATGTCTTAATTCGATTTCTCTAATTACTTTCCATTTACTCTCATTGTAGCTCTAGAGAAATCTTCGAGGATCTAACACGAATATAAGCTTCAGGTTATGGCTCTTTTATTTGTTTGAAATCTGGTTTTGATTTTTGTTTATTTCTGCAATTGAAATCGAGATATACATTCAAAAGACAATCTTTAGGTTAGGGTTCTTAGCTTCTGTTATTAGTTTGCAGGTTGGATCTTTTGACGACTAAAACTCACAAAACCAATCTTCAGAAGCTTAAAGCAGTTTGTCTTGTTTACAGGTTCCATTGTTTCTGACTTTTAAATTCTTGTTTGGTTTAATACTTGACTGTTTAATCTTGTTAATGTGAATGTCAATGTGTCTGTTTGGTGTTTGAGTTAGTCTTATGGGTTTGTTATGTTTTGCTTATGATACAGTCTGTTTGGTGTTTGATCAGTTTATCTTTTCTTATGTTTTGCTTATGGGTAAGAACATATAATGGTATTGTTTGTAGGTTCCAATGTTTTTGACTTTGAAATTCTTGTTTGGTTTAATACTTGTCTCTTTAATCTTGTTAATGTGAATGTCAATGAAAACGATTTGGTGTTTGAGTTATTATTATAGGTTTGTTATGTTTTGCTTATGGTGTCTGTTTGGTCTTTGAGTTATTCTTATGAGTTTTTATGTTTTGCTTATGGGTAAGAACATATAATGGTCGAAAAGTCATGGGTTCATCTGAACAGGTATGTAAAAACAATATATATATAAATATACTTAAGGGTTTAATGGGAGATTAAGAGAGTTAAGGTTTCTTATTGTTTTTTGGTCTCATCTTAATTTACTTAAGAGCTGAACCGGATTATGAGAGAGGTGCTTGGGATTTTGTGAGGTCTGTGGCTGCAGCTTTAGGAGAAATGGAGATGATTATTTGCCCCTGCATTGACTGTCGCAACGTAGATCGTCACTCAGCCGGTATTGTCGTTGATCATCTTGTAACAAGAGGAATGGATTTGAGTTACAAGATGAGAGATGATTGGTATCATCATGGAGAAGTGCAATCAGGGACTGAGAGTAGAAGCAATGCAAGTCAGTGGAACCAAGAGATTTTGGGGTTATACCAAGCTGCTGAGTTTAGAGATGAAGAGTTGGTTAGGCAGGCAGATTTATGTGAGGGTGCTGAGGCTGAGGATAAGCTAGAAGATGAGTTTCTTGCAAAGCTAGCCGATGCAGAAACGCCCCTATACCCAAGTTGTGCAAACCACAGCAAGCTATCGGCGATAGTTGAACTCTTTAGGATAAAGACAGAGAGTGGTTGGTCTGACAGAAGTTTTGATCTTCTGCTTCAGACTTTGCCACGGATGCTACCCAAGGACAATGTAATGCACACCTCGTTGTACGAGGTGAAGAAGTTTCTTAGATCTTTTGATATGGGTTACGAGAAGATACACGCTTGTGTGAACGACTGTTGTTTATTCAGGAAGCAATTTGAGAAGCTCAACAATTGTCCGAAATGCGACGCTTCACGTTGGAAGATTAACACCCGCACTGGCGAGGTGAAGAAAGGTATTCCACAGAAAGTACTTAGGTATTTTCCGATAATTCCACGTCTCAAAAGGATGTTCAGGTCTGAAGACATGGCGAAAGACTTAAGGTGGCATTTTAGTAATAAGAGCACTGACGGGAAAATTCGTCATCCGGTGGATTCTGTGACGTGGGATCAAATGAATGACAAGTACCCATCATTTGCCTCTGAAGAAAGGAACATTAGGCTTGGACTCTCGAAAGATGGGTTTAATCCGTTTAACATGAAGAATGTTAACTATAGTGCTTGGCCTGTTTTGTTAGTCAATTACAACATGTCACCTGACAAGTGTATGAAAGAGGAGAACATCATGTTGTCATTACTGATTCCTGGTCCAACACAACCTGGAAACAATATAGATGTGTACCTAGAACCCCTTATAGAGGATCTAAATCATCTGTGGGAGAAGGGAGAGTCAACGTATGACGCATTCAGTCACACTACTTTCACGTTAAGGGCGATGCTTCTCTGGACCATACAAGATTTTCCGGCATATGGAAATCTTGCGGGCTGTAAAGTCAAGGGAAAAATGGCATGTCCTGTGTGTGGAAAACACACAGACAGTATGTGGCTGACTAATTGCAGAAAGCACGTATATATGTGCCATCGGAAGGGTTTGCCACCAACACATGTTTATCGAAGAAAGAAAGTATGGTTCGATGGTAAAGCTGAGCATGGGAGAAGAGGTCGGATTCTGAGTGGTCATAACATATACCAACTACTGAAAAATTACAAGAATGATTTTGGGAATGTGAGAGTAACTGGAAGGAAGAGGAATATGAAAGAAAGTGTTGGTTTAGGCTCAGATTCTAATGATGAAACCAGTGAATCAGAGGAAGAGGATGAACCAGTAGATGAGGATGAGTTATCTAGATGGAAGAAACGGTCAATCCTTTTCAAATTGCCTTATTGGAAGGTATGTTCCTAATGTTTTTTTGTTTTTTTTCTATATATCATTTCTGAATTGATCTATTTGAACTGTCTTTAACATATAGTATTCTTTTCTGTCTTTTTGTTTGGGCCTAGGAACTGCCGGTTAGACATAATTTAGACGTTATGCACGTGGAGAGAAATGTCGTTGCTAGCATTGTCTCAACACTATTGCATTGCGGTAAATCAAAGGATGGGCTTAATGCTAGAAAAGATCTGCAAATGCTTGGTATTAGGAAGGATTTACATCCCCAACCCCGTGGAAAAAGAATGTACCTGCCTGCAGCTCCTTGGTCTTTATCCAAGAAAGAGAAGAAACTATTTTGTAAGCGCCTTTTTGATTTCAGAGGTCCGGATGGATATTGCTCAAATATCTCCAGGTGCGTGAAAATAGAAGATTCTACGATCAGAGGACTTAAATCTCATGACTATCATGTGTTGATGCAACAGTTACTTCCGGTTGCGATTAGAGGTACAAATTGATAACTTCTGACTTTATTTCTTATACAATTACCTTTTCTGGCTTTTAATCTTCAATGCTATTTATTTTCAGGTTTGTTACCTAAAGGTGTTAGGATAGCTATTGGACGCTTATCCGCATTTTTCAACCACCTATGTCAGCGAATTATCGACAGAGAGACAATTTTAGTAATGGAAACTGAAATTGTTGAAACTCTCTGCATGTTTGAGAGGTTCTTTCCTCCAAGTTTCTTCGATATAATGGTGCATTTGACGGTACATCTAGGCAGGGAAGCTCGGTTATGTGGACCAGTCCATTTTCGTTGGATGTACCCATTTGAGAGGTACAAATTGATAACTTCTAACTTTATTTCTTATACAATTAGCTTTTCTGGCTTTTAATCTTCAATGTGCTTTATCTGCAGGTACATGAAAGTTCTTAAGGACTTTGTAAGAAACACTGCAAGACCTGAGGGTTGTATTGCTGAATCGTATCTCGCTGAGGAATGCATGAGGTTCTGCCGTGAGTTCTTGAAAAATACAACTAGTGTTGAGGAAAAATCTGACAGAAATGATGAGTATGAGAGCAGCTCTATACTGGAGGGTCGTCCGATATCCGCAGCCACATCATGTACTCTTACTGAGAAAGAGAAGAACATAGCCCATCTTGCTGTGATTCATAATATGGCTCTAGTGGATCCTTATGTGGAGTAAGTACTCTTAACAGTCTCTTCTCAATTTTTGTTATATCTAACAGTTATTTCTATTAGATACATCAGCCTGTTAATATTGGGTTTTTATTTCGATTTAAGCATGCACCTTCAACAACTACAAAATTCTAATGAAAGATGTAGACGTGATGCGACAATATTATGGAGTACGCATACTCAGAAATTTGCGTCTTGGTTAAAAGAACAGGCAAGTTCATACTTGAGTCACCCTTATTTATTTTTTGGTGTAGCTATACTTGTCTTCAATATACACTGACACTTTAAAATTTTTTGAAATAGATACCTCTCAGTTCAGAACAACATGAAGATACGCTTAAATGGTTGGCTTACGGTCCTCGTAATTGCACAAGGTCTTACACGGGTTACATTGTCAACGGGCAACGGTTTCACACTACTTCAGTTGATAGACAAACTCAGAACAGTGGGGTCTTATATGAGGCCACAGCAATATGTAGAGCCAGTGCGAAAGACACTTCTCAGATGGTTGACTTTGTATCCTACTATGGCAGAGTGGTAGAGATTATACTTCTTGATTACAACATTTTCTACATTCCTCTATTCCGGTGTCAATGGGCAAACATAGGTAATGGAGTCAAGAAAGAAGATGGCTTCACGCTAGTCAACCTTAACCAAAGTCAAGTTTCATTTGCAAGAGATCCCTACATATTAGCTTCTCAAGCAAAGCAAGTGTTCTATTCAAGGGTAGATGAGTCATCTAGTTGGTATGTAGCTATGAGAGGTCCTACAAGAAGATACAGTGAAGAAGAATCTGAAGATGGAAATTCAGATGTGGGGCCATTGCCAGCAGTAGTGGACATGGAAGCTGATGACTTGGTTGATGAAGCTAGAAATGCCCGTCATGATTGTGAAGGAATTTATGTTTGAAAGAATAGTGTTTTGTTTTTTTTTGTGGATCTATGATGGCCTGGAATTTGTTTTTAATTAGATTGGATCATTATTGCTTTTGATTTGAGTGTTATACATCTTGGTTTCTTTGTGTGTGTCTGTTTTTTCACTGGTGTTTCATCTATGAACTGTATTCTAACATTTCTCTCTTTTGTTTCAGGTGAACTAAGATGGGCAATCGTAAAAACAAGCGTGTAACCAAAAAGACAAGGGACTTGGAAGAGGTGTTAGAAGAGAACATTGCTCAAGGACATGCGGCAGATATAGAGACTGAAGAAGCTGGTCATGATTTACTGAATGGAGCTGGTAATGATGTAGTTAATGAAGCTGGTAATGATGTAGGTACTGGAGCTGCAGGTAGCCTGAATGAAGAAGATGAGTTAGAAGAGAACTCTGAAGAACAGGCGGCAGATGAGGAGAATGAAGAACTTGGTAATGATGTAGTTAATGGAGATGATGAGCAAACACAGAATGTGCCTGAAGAACAGGCGGCAGATGAGGAGAATGAAGAACTTGGTAATGATGTAGTTAATGGAGATGATGAGCAAACACAGAATGTGCCTGAAGAACAGGCGGCAGATGATGATATAGTTGCTGAACCAAAGCGTAAAAAGCAACGAGGACCAACGAAGATGAAACACATCGCCAAGGATCCAAATGAAAAGCAACATGTTGACTTCACTGATATGGGAGAACATTGTGGCCCAGGGTCAGTGCTGTTATCATCATACTTGGGTCCGTTAGTACGGGAACATGTTCCTGTCATAATCGACACTTGGAAAAAAGTTGGTGAAGATATCAAAACTGTTCTGTGGAAATCTATTGAGGTAAGCTATAATTAAATTATCCACATTTTAAGTTTAACTTGCCTCACATTAGTAATTGTTTTTTCTTTTCCTGGTGCATTTGAATGAAGGCAAGGTTTGACATTGACGAAGACTATAAGAAGACTGCTGTGTTTAAGCAGATGGGATGTCTCTGGAGAGCCTCCAAATCACGTCTGGTGAGCAAGGTTAGGAAAGCTAGAACCATGAAAGATAGGATGAGTCTGCGACCGAATAATGTACCTCCAACAGCATGGCGTCTCTTTGTCAAAGCCAAGACTAGTAACGCCTTCAAGGTATTCACTTAGTTGTCTTTGTTTATTGGCCTGTAGAATACTCACCTTTTTTTTCATTCTAATTCAGGTTGTAAGTGATTCATTTAAGGCAAGAAGGAAGAAGCAGATACCTCACACTTGTGGGCGTAAAGGAATGGTCAGATTGAGAGAAGAATTGGTAAAGAGTAGCTCAGAACCATCTAAGATCACAAGGCTAAAAGTTTGGGTCAAGTCGCGTACTAGGAAGGATGGTACGCCTGTAAATATTACTGCTGCTGAAAAGATTGTAAGTATTGACTTTACCTATCAGTATGATTTTAGAAATTGGATATCCTGCTTGGTCCACCTTATGATCTGTAATTGTGTTTGCAGCAAAAGGCAAAAGAGATAGACACTGAAAGTCTTAATGATTCAACGACAACGAATCCAAAGGAAGATATGCTTACACAGATTTTGGGACCTGATAATCCTGGAAGATTGAGAGCAATGGGTAGAGGTATGAGCTTGACAAAATTGGCTTGTTTCCAAGTCAAGAGCAAATGTATGGCTGCAATGGAAGAAAAGCAGATTCGTTTGCAGAAAAAGGTTCATGAGTTAGAGCAGATCTTATTACAGAGACAAGGGTCTGACATCGGTGAAAACTCGATTCATAGAGTATGTACCAACTATTTATATATTGCCTTTGTTTATATTTATGAGTTGATTTCTCATTGTTTGTTTTTCATGTAGAGTGTAAACACCAAATCACTTCCCAAGTGTTATTTGGTTGACTGGTCCTGTCCTGATGAGAATGTCGCTGAGGGACGTGTTGTTTCTTATGATGAGGATGAGTTGGTGAATGGAATTCCTTTAGGGCCTAACTCTGTCAAGGTTTTAGTTGAATTAGTTACTAAACCAGAAGCATTTCTCTGGAGACCTGCACCTGACATGTTTACTCTTGAGGATGCACTTGGCGAAATGGTTGCATGGGATGCTGATTACTGTATTGTTCCAACTGATGGTAGTATACCAGAAAACATAGCACCTAAGGTTAAGTTTCTGAACTTTTGTTATTTGTAGATGCTCTTTATCTATATCTGAGTCTTTGATAATTATTTTTTCTTTTCATTGTTTGGTACATTTGAATTTCGCAGAGCCCTGGCACAAGTATAAGGAATAAATGCAAACTCATGGATTATAGTACGAATGATCAAGTGATCGCTGAAGGTCGATTTCAGACTCGAGAACCTAAAGCGTTGGTAAATGGACTTCCTCTTGGTCCAAATGCAATGAAGGTATATGTGGATGTGGTAGTAAACCCTAAGGCATATCTATGGAGGCCTACAGTTAACATGAGAAATGTGGAGGATTCTTTGAACTGTTTTGTAGCATGGCCTGCAAATAGAGTTGTGATGGAGCCAACTCCAGAATCTCCTCCTCTTCAACCATCTACATCTAAAGCATCAAGTACAGGTTATCAGAATGAGAAGTCTCCAGTAACTCCAAAAGCTCCTGTAAAGAAACCAGCAACAACTTTGAAAGCGGCGCGCGCATCTCCGCGTCGTAAATTGCAGGTACTTTCTTTTAAATTTACTGTGTTACATGATTGATGGTTGGGCTGTTGACTTTGATAAACATGATTGATTGTGGTTTGTTGTTTTAATTGTTTGTCTGGTTGTTTGTTGGTTGTCTTTGTAGCCTGTTGCATTCAAGAAAAATCAAAAATGTAAGTTGATAGATCTGATCAGAAAGAACCACGTCGTTGCTGAAGGACGTTGGTCATCGAATAATCCTGCCAGTGTTGTCCACTTTGTACCTTTGGGCCCTAAAGCATGTCGAGTCTGGGTGGATGTTGTCAAGGATAAAGATGCTGCAGTTTGGAGACGATCTTCTGAGATCGAGTGTATGGAAGATGCATTTGGAACCTCTATTGCATGGCCAGAAGATAAAGTGGAACCATTAATGGTGAGATTTGTAATCATTAATTTGCTGTGATTCATTTTACCTATGTCATACTAATCTAAGATATTTTTGTTTTCAGGAGTGAACTCAATTGCTTAATCTGAACTGATGATGGAATGAAATATGTTTTCTGCTTTTAATTAAGTTTAGCTATGTTTGAGAACTTGATAAAGACTTTCTGTTTTGTTTATGAACTGGTTTGATGTATGTTTACATGTTCTCTTTTAGAGTTCATGATGTATGTGTACACTTTGTATGCTTTGGATCTTAAATGAAAAAGCATTGCTGTTTTATGATTTTTTGTTTCACAATAGGTTTTTATAAATCCCAGAATTGATCGAATAGGTGCACAATTTTGGCAGCCAAATAACTGTATTCAACAACATTGTAATCGTGTCATAATAAAATATTCTATGGCACTAATAAAAAGCCATGACATATTATAGAGTGGCACGAAACAAGTGCTAGAATAACTTATACAATAGCAAATGATACTTGCTATAATAGGTTCATTTTCCATAGCATTCAAAAAAATGCTATCATATGGGGTGAGGCTATTATAGCTCCTTCTGTCATAGCGTTCATGAAAACGCTACAAAATCGATATAGTAGCGTTTTTAGTGTACTATCAATGACCGAATTTCTTGTAGTGCTATTAAAAGAAAAGCCGCTGATGAAGCTAAAGTCTCATCAAAAATCGCTAAATGCGATGATGGTAAGGTGGTTCCGCATGAGGAACCGCCGAGCCAAACATGAGTTTCATGAGCTGGAATTGTCAGGGGTTGGGGGGCACCTTAACAATTCCTACTTTGAAGGGAATGCGTCGTGAATATTTCCCGGATTTTTTGTTCCTCATGGAGACTAAAAACTCCAGCAGTCACGTGTTGAAAGTACAACGATGGATGGGATATAAGAATGCGCATATCGTCGATCCAGAAGCTTTAAGTGGAGGTTTAGCTTTTATTTTGGAAGGATTCATACAATGTAGAAATTTTTTTCTCGGATTCAAGAATTATTGATGCTAAAGTCAAACTCGGTTCACTCATTTTCTACATCTCATGTGTCTATGGGGACCCGGTTGCCCATTTAAGACAGATTGTATGGGACAACTTGATTGACATTAGTGTCTTAAGGAATGATCCATGGTTAGTTTTGGGAGACCTTAACGAAATTATGAACAATTCAGAAAAGCTTGGAGGCCCGGCTCGGGTGGAATCATCTTTCTATCCTTTTAGGAATATGATGCATGATTGCCGTCTACTAGAGGTCCCAAGCATTGGTAACAAGTTTTCTTGGGCTGGAGAGCGTAATAAAATGTGGATACAATGTCGTCTTGACAGAGCTCTTGGTAATGAGACATGGTTTTAACTCTTTCCACGAGCTCAAGCTGAATATTTAGAAAGAATTGGTTCTGATCATCGGCCGTTACTGCTTAGATTCGTCATTGAAAACATGTCCCGCACCGGTAGATTTATGATTAACAAAAGGTGGACATTGAAAGCAGAATTCGCGGAAGTTATTAAAGCTGGTTGGGCCAAAGGTGAGTTGTCGGGACAGACCTCTCTAATGCAAAGAATCTCATATTGCAGGGGATTCATATCGTAGTGGAAAAAAGAAACAAATCAAAACTCCAAAGAGCGTATAACAGAGCTAGGCAATAAGATTGAACATGAAGGAAACAAAGTATTCCCTGACTTGTCAATTTTACGCAATTTAAAATGGGAATTGGCTGAGGCATATCGAGAGGAGGAACTGTATTGGCGACAGAAAAGTAAAGAAATATGGATGCGGGATGGAGACCGCAACACAAGCTTTTTTCATGGTAGTGTACAACAGGGAAGAATTCAGAACCGGATCGTTTCTCTTTTTGACGACAACGGGCTTGAACAATTCTCGGAGGGTTCAAAGGGTGAGATTGCTGTGGAATATTTTCGCAAAATGTTCTCTACCTCGAACCCATCATCGTCTGTAGCGGAAGATTTAGAGGGTATGCTTCTACGAGTGACACACAAAATGAATATTGAACTCACTAGACCTGTGACTGGTGAGGAAATCTGTATGGCAGCCTTTGGTATTAAAGGAGATAGCACACCTGGAGCGGATGGAATGTCAGGACATTTTTATCAAACGTATTGGGATATTGTAGGATCTCAAGTGATCAAAGAGGTTCAAAATTTTTTTGAATCTGGTGTTCTTTCTTCGGAATGGAATTTCACTCAGATTTGTCAAATCTCCAAATCCTTCCCAAAAAGCCAAATCCTTCCAAGATGACTGATCTAAGGCCCATAAGCCTCTGTTCTGTCATGTACAAAATCATCTCTAAAGTACTCTGTTCTCGGATTAAGAAGTTTCTACCATTGATTGTGTCGGACACACAAGGAGCCTTTGTTGTAGGACGCCTAATTTCCGATAACATCCTCCTAGCACATGAAATGATACATGCACTGCGAACTAATCCAAGATGTGATGAAGAGTTTATAGCGATTAAAACCGATATGTCCAAAGCATACGATAGGGTGGAGTGAAATTTTCTTGAGGAATTACTCCTAAAACTTGGTTTTAATATCAAGGTGGTTCTTTGGATAATGAGTTGTGTGAGGTCGGTCTCATACTCCGTTCTAATGAATGGTGGATCTTATGGTTTTATTAAACCGGAGAGAGGTATACGACAAAGAGATCTTGTATCACCCTTTCTCTTCATATTATGTGCTGAAGCATTGGTGCATATTATGAATAAGGCTAAGACTGAAGGAAGACTCACCGGTCTACGCTTGACAGATAGTTGTCCGTCTATCCAACATCTTCTTTTCGCAGACGATAGTTTTTTCATGTGTACATCAAACTTGAAAGAGTGCTCTGAATTTTTACAGTGTCTTCATCTGTATTGTACGACATCAGGTCAGGAAATAAACTGCCAGAAGTCGTCAATCACCTTTGGTAAAAAGCTTGATCCGTACATGAGAAGACTGCTTGGTTTATTCACGGGCATCGAGCAAGAGAAGGTCGAGCGGGTAAGTATCTAGGCCTCCCGGAATGTTTCAGCGGTTCCAAGCGAGAACTTTTAGGTTTCATCACGGATCGACTTAAAGTGAGACTAGGAGGCTGGTATCAAAAGACACTATCCTTGGGAGGGAAGGAAGTTGTTTTAAAATATGTGGCCATGGCGTTACCAGTTTATGCAATGTCTTGTTTCCGATTGACAAAGCATCAATGCCAACAAATTACAAGCACCATGTCTAGTTTTTGGTGGAATGCCTATGAAGACAAGAACAAAATGCATTGGGTCTCATGGGAGAAGTTGTGCAAATCCAAATCACAAGGAGGATTGGGTTTTAGAGACATTGGAAGATTTAACCAAGCCTTACTTGCGAAACAAGCTTGGCGACTCTTAGACGCTCCGGACTCATTGGTTTCCCGTGTTTATAAAGCCAAATATTTTGCTACGAAAAGTTTCTTAGAGGCAAAAATTGGCTATAGACCGTCGTATGATTGGAAAAGCATCTTGTTTGGTCGGGAATTACTTGAGCGAGGTCTAATGAAATCGATAGGGGATGGTGCTGACACAAGTATTTGGGCTGATAAGTGGATCAAAGATGACTTCCCGCGAAGACCGATTAATAAGGACTTGATGATGGATCTTAACCTCAAGGTTTCGTCATTGATAATAACACAAGGAGCTTGGAATCTACAACGTTTAAAGGAGCTTTTTCACCTTGTGATGTTACTCAGATTAACTCGTTTCCTCCGGCACCGACTCTAAAAGACAGATTTGTGTGGGCATACACCAAAGATGGACGATACTCTGTCAAAAGCGGGAACTGGGTTTTGGGACGGGAAGCAACAGCCATGGAGATTGTTACGGAAAATATTCAGAGCTTAAACAAGATCAAAGAAAAGATTTGGAATATTCTAACAGCTCCAAAAATCAAGTTATTTTTATGGCGTGCTCTTTCTAGGGCCTTAGCAGTCGCTGAGTGTTTAAGGAAGCACGGTCTTAACATACAACCCATGTGTTCAATTTGCAACAGAGAGGAGGAGATGGTGTCTCATGTATTATTCACTTGCTCCTTGGTGGCCCAAGTGTGGTCAGAT